GCTGGCATCAGCCCGCCCTGGGAAACATGTCACTGTGGAGCCAATCCTGAGAGTAACCACCCTGCAGGGCAGAGCAGAGCAGGGCAGCCGCGGTGTTTCCAGGGTCCGTCAGCTTTACGGAAGCACACAGCCACCACATTCTCTCCAGGAGTGGGTGGTTCCAACCATTCACTTTCAGTTAGCAGGCCCACCCTTAACCCACAGCGCCACCAGGACTCCTCACAACCACAGATACATCTCATTGGCTGAGTGGATGCAGAAACCCAGGCTCCAGGCACGCTCCCCACTGGGGTGTTAGCTTGAAGGTCGGGTAAATCTCAGCCAGCCTGAGTCTCTCGAGCAGGGAGTTCACATAGCCAGTGGCTGTCCTGGTTACCTGCTTCTTGTGGTTTTTTAGGGTTGTCGCCTTGAAGATGACTCATAGTGACCCTGTGAACAACAGATCTGAACCTTAAAGTACCTGCACCATCCTTCTCAACCTCAGCACCCTCGAGCCCACTGCTGCGGTCACTGCGTCAGTCTGCCTGGTTGAAGGTTTCCTTCTCTCTCACTGACCCTGCACCTTTCCAAGCACGACGTCCCTCTCCAAGGAAGAGTGGCTCCCAAAAACATGTTCCAAGTACGTGAGGTGAAGCTTCACCGTCCTCCTTGCCTCCAAGCAGCATGCTGGCCGCACCTCCGCCAAGACACGCCTGTGTGGACAGTACTGTGTGGACAGTCCGTGGGATGTTCAGTGCACCTCGCCAACCTCACAATCAAAGGCATCAATTCTTCTCCGTCATCCCTTGTCTTTGTCCAGCTCTCAGATGTACAGCAGGTGACTGGAGAGATGCAAGTGCCCCTCAGTCCTTGGACTGATGTCCTTACCTCTCAGGACTGCTACCTGTGTGCTCATGTGTCTCTGTCCTTATTGTCTCTGCCCCTCAGCCTGAGAAGACCTCTACCCTTCACTCTCCAGGGGCCCCTACACTTAAGGCTGAGATTCAAGAAGAAGAAAACCCAAAGGTGTTTATTCTTTCCAGGGCCTGGTGGTGCAGAGGGTTAATGTGCTAGCTGGCAGTGGAATCCCATCCCCAAGCTGTCTAGAAATAAACACAGTGGTGGCTCAGTAATTAAAGCTCAGCTGCTAGTCAAAAGGTCAGAGGTTCAAATCCACCAGCAGCTTTGAAGGAGAATGACGGGCCACTTTGCTTCGAGAAACTGTGTGCTCACAGCTCGGTGTGTACACAGAAGCGAGGCTAGTCGTAGACTCTTACAGCAGGATGCTGTGTCTACCATGGTCGGAGCTGAAGCAGAGGACGACAGAGAAGGCTTGATGTGCTGGGTTCTTTCAGCTATAAACCCTGGTGCAGAGCACCTGGTGGGGGGGGGGTGTGTGTGTAATGCTGCCGAGTGGACTGTGCCTCATAACAACCTGAACCCACCCTGCTCCACGCTGCCTTCGCGACCGCTGATCTGCTCAGTCCCGGCTTGAGAGCTACCACGTCAATCCATCTGCGAAGAAGGGGCTTCCCCTCTTTGCTCCGCCCCTGCACCTTCCCCAGAATGTGTCCATGGCCTTGGCCTCTCCAGACAACCTATTCCAAGTACGTGGGACTCATCGCAGCCTGTGAGGGGCAGCCTGGCTGGACTTCCTACAAGACAGAGTCGTCTATTCTTTTGACAGGACACGTCGTCAGCACCCCGATTCAAAGGCCTCCACTCTTCCCCATCACTGGCCCACTTTCAGATGCCTCACAAACTACTGAAAAGACATGGCTTGAATCAGGTGTACCTTGATCGTTAAACTGACATCCTTGCTCTTTAGAACTTTGGAGAGGTCCTAGACAGCAAATTTCCCCGATCTGTGGTCTCCTCATCTGTCTAGACTGCTTCTCCCCGAGGTGTGGATGGTGGACCCCAGCCAGCCAGGCTGTGACGCGCGGGAGGCCTTTCCTCCTCGGAGCTGCTGGTGGGCTTGCGTTGCTGCTGTCCGCTGTTAAGCTTTCCTGGTCAGCAACTCAGGCCCGGTCCCCACCACCACCCCCGCAGGTGGCAGGGGGCACAGGGTACGGCATCTCGGGGGTGGGCAAAGCCCAGCCCTCCACTGCCATGAGGTCACCTGTGTGCCACCTTCCAGAGAGAGGCTGCACTTGTCCATGACTGGCTCAGACTGTTCAACACCAGTGCAGCCGAGGGAGGAAGAGGGACGCAAAGCTGCCCTGTGGGACCCCGACCACAGCACTCACAGCGCTGGCTCCTTGTTGTCCGACTTGTAAAGGGACCCGGTGACTCTCCTCTCCTTGGCGAGGTCTGCTCGCCTGGGAACCCCACAGGTCTAAGCCCAAGCTTTGCCTGATGCATTGAGAGGGGAAAAACCCCAAACCCCAAACAAAAAGGAATTCCTTCCACATTGCACATCTCAGGGCAGAAGCCCCGGGTCTCACGGGAACAAGGAGGGCCCAGGGTTTTCTTTCTGTTCTTGTTAGGTGCCTGTGTGCGAGGCTGGGTTTGAACCTGCAGCACACTCGGGAGCCGGGGTCCCACAGAGGGTGGCGGCACCAGAGTCACTGTGCTGGGTCACAGAGCACTGGTGGTTAGGATCCGCACACTGTGGCAACAAAGACAGCCCGGCCCTGGGCCAGGCATGTCCTGTTGACCGGGCCTGTCCGGCTGTCCATTCGTGATGCAGGCTATGTGAGCCAAGGGCCAGGGCACACACGGTCACCCTCTCCCCATCCAGGTGTTATTCTCAGGAGGGTGGAGGGACTGCAAAGAGGAAGACCCTCGATGAGATGGGTTGACTCGGTGACTCTGGTGATGAAGCAGGTGTGTTGCTCATAGGTCACTGTGAGTTGCAGGTGACTCAATGGCACCTGTACCTAGGGCTGCTGTTCTCGTTTTCTCCCTGCCAACCACCACCCACTTACTTCTCTATCACTATTTTGAAATAAACTTTGTTTTCCCATTCATGAATATATTTTGTGGTTTGGATGACAGTTTACAGAATTCATTTTCTATTCAACAATTTGTACCTTTTCCCATTCTTGATTACATGAAAAAATTTTTAACTTTTAAATAGAATAAATTTAAAAGGACAAACTAGGCAACAGCCAAGATTCTTAATGGGAGTGTTTTATTTAAAATCAACACTTGAATATTAACAGTGAGGATAAAGCAGACATGCAGCTCCTCAAATACAAACGGGTCAACAAACGACTCAAAGCTGAAGGCTTGTGGTGTTGTCGGGTAAGAACCTACTCACTGCTCACCCCAGGGGATTTTAGAAACTGACCAGCAAAGTAGAGCGCCCAGCTTTCTCTGGGCGAGCAGCTGGGGGATTTAAATCTCATGCCTTGGGATTGGCAGCGCCCCCCAAAGCCAGGACGTTAGCAGGCATTAGTTACTTCTTATTTAAGTGGTCAGTTTCCAGCCAGTTATTCCTACAGGGGGAACACTAGAACTCAAAAGGCAGGAAGCGAAGGGTAGTCTGGAAGGAGTGGGGAATCACATGGGTGTGGGAAGAGTGCTGTTACAAAGTGACCTTAACAATCCCTACATCAAAAAGTTTACAAAAGGTCAACCAGAAAATCAGCCCTTTAGACCTTCGCTCAAATCACACTTAAGGTTTTAAGTGGCTGAGTAGCCTAATTTGCTGGGCTTGTGTTCAGTGTTGCTACAGCCATCATGTGGAATTCCTCTACTTTCAGAGGTAATTTGGATTAAACCAGTTACTATGCAGTGGTAGCACAGTGAGTTAAGCATTAGGCTGCCGACTCAATCGCCTGAGGTCTGAACCTTCCGACAGCTGCTCTGTTGAGTGGCATAGAGTGGGGCTGCCTGGGGCGCAGAAGCCAGCACCCCTGGCTTCAGAACAGCAAGGGGCATTGAGGGTGGCAGCAGTCGCCTGGTCCCCGTGTTCCGAGGTGTGTCTCCACTGTCAACACCACTGGTACACAATGGACATACACACACGCGCACATACACAATCTGTGGCTTCAGGAATTGTAAATACTAGATAGGGACACTGAATGTATCGAATGAAATTGGTTCAAATACCAAGTGTCTTCATCTTGGCCTCAGGAGGGACACGCCAGTCTAGCTTTACTGGTAATCTTCATGGCTGACTTAAAAAGCCCAAATCCACCCAGGCCACAAAGCCGGGCACATACTCCTCGTTCAGCCCGACCCCAAGCCCACCACCACCACCACCATGGCCATCCCCACGCCTGGCCATCCTCCACTGGTCACTGAGGCCATAAATCTCGGGAGTCGATTGCCCACTGTTCTCCAGGGCAGCAGCTGGTGGACCTGATCACCATTACTACCAAATGCATAACGGGTCCTTACTAAGTATTTTCCCTGTTTCTAAGCACTTGAACCTCCAAGGAATATGGCAGTGCTATGCACAGGACCAGCACAAGTAACCTCCTGACGCTCCCGTCCCTGTGCCCCAGAGCCCCACCTGAGTGAGTGAGCAGACCAAAGGGTAAGAAGACACTGAAGATGAACTTTATTCTGCAGGTGCCGACGGCCCAGCTCTGGGCTCACACCTGCATGTACGACCAACTGGGCAGCAAGATGTTCACAGGGTCTGCGGTTCTGCATGCGGCTAACACTTCACAGGTGTCTGCTTTTACACACTGAGTGTTTAACAGCAAAGCAAAGGTCATATGCTATCGTGGGAAGTGATTTTAGAAAGCCCTTGCACAGGACTGGAAGTGACGTTTCACATGGACATCACACGCATGCTGCAACGGAGAGTGAGATGCAGGACGGACAGGGGCGACCTCGCCTCCCGGACCAGCACTTCACCTCAGGGACCGATGGGGACGAGACGTACAGCTCAGCACGGACGCACAATTCCACAGGCATCTGTCACCACGGCCACCTCCCTCGTAGGGTCGTAGAGACTAGACAGGGCTTTCTGTCTTCCCACAGAATACACTGAAATTTCCAAACATTCTTATAAAAGGACAGACAGTCCGGGACAGCCGGGGGCACAGGACACCGCGGCCTTATCAGTCCAGGTCCATGCCGACGCCGCCCTTCTCTTCTGAGCAGTCTCCGTTCTGGTGTGGGGGCTCGGTGCCCAGCGTGCCCTTGCCTTCCACGCCGTCTGCATTCTTGGCCATGTTCGGCCCGTTGGGGGTTCTCTCCATTTTGGGTGACTCGATTTTTGGTTTGGGCTGTGTGACAATGGGCTCACACGTGTTGATCACCTCCTGGAAAAGAAGGCACAGAGGTGAGCTGGCCCCATGGGCTCAGGATCCCATGTACATCCCACTTGCCATGGTGACTAACAGGTAAAGCTGGCTCAAGTCACCCCAGGGGGTCAAGGCACCATGGTGCCAAGAGCACAAGCTAAGAGCCGGACAGTCCCTGCAAAGCCCAGCAGTGCCAAGGGACCAGCTGCCCCTTAAGAGGAAGCGAGGCACCTGCCCATAGGGCTGACAACCCCAGACCCTGTGACAGCTCCTCTGTGCCACACGGCTGCAAGGAGCCAAGTGACCGTGCAGGGTGCTGGCTGAGCCCTCACAACATTAAAGGCAGGGATGACTGTGATCTCTGCACGAGGAAGCTGCCAAGAGGTCGAGGTACCTCCCGAGAGAGGTCGGGGCACCTCCAGCCCACCACCGCAGCGAGTGAAGACCAGGCAGGAGGTGCGTCCTCAGCAGAACGCTGGGTGAACCACCCATGCGATGTCCGAGGGGGAAGCAGTGTGGACAGCTCCCAGGGCGCAAGGCCGACCCAGACACCCATCCTCCGCGGCTCTGCACGGCCGGATTCAGCCCTCCCATCCAGGCCTGTTTCCATCTCCACCCCCTGCTAGCCTGGCCGAGGGAGCACACGCCTGTCTGTGCGGATCTCCTCCCCAGTGGGCACGGAGCAGATGGGACCCAAGAGGAATGTGCGGTCACCCACGAACCCGCCAGAGCTCATCAACTAGAGACCCAGAGGCTGCAGTCGAGGGCCACGTGTGAGGTCAGAGGGCAGAGTGGACACTGACTCGCACTCACCCTCATCTTGTCATAGATGTCCTGAGTGCGCACCACGGGGTCCTGATGTGGGCTCTGCTTCGCCTGCGCGTTCATGACGTTGTTCATCCACTCCATGGCCTCGTTCACACACCTCTCCACCTTCTTCATCTCAGACTCATCGATGTGGCTGTAGTGCTCATCCTGGGAGAGAGAGGGTACACAGCGGTCACTCAGCACTGGCCCACACCACCCCCACAGTCTCCCTCGCCCAGCCTCCTCGGCCTACCTTCCCCCGGAAGTCGGCGGCAATCCTGGCAAAATGCTGCAGAACATCTCCCAGATCCTGAAACGCTTTGGGCCGCTCCTTGGCTTCCTTATAGCGGACCTTGACCGGAGTGCCAATTTTCTAAAACAGAAGTGCAAAGTTAGAGCTGTCACTTCCATACGTCACATGTCTGCATGCTGAAATGTGGCCTGGTGGGACAGAAGGTGCACAAGGGCTTCACTACTGTCTGAGGTCAATGTTTGGAAGCCAACGGGCAGCTCCGTGGGTTAAAGGCCCGGTGAACGGCTAATGTAAGATCACAGCCCGGGAAGCGCGTGGGCAGGTCGGCGTTCACACGGGGCCAAGGCGAGCTGGCATCTACTCCACAGCATGGCACACTGGCACTCAGAAACAAGCAACTGTCTTTAGGGCTAGGAGTCCTCATGGACTGAACTGACACGTGTGAGCCCGAGGCCATGATGCCACCATCAAGGAGCTGTCTGCCATGTTGCCGTAGAATAGAATCACTCCTCTGTTCTTGTTAGCTTGTAATCATGAAGTGATTACTGCTAACCAAAAGGTCTGCAGTTCAAATCCACAGGAGAAGGCTGAGGCGGTCTGCTCCTGGTTAAGATTCTGAGACTGACAGCTGTTTTGGGACTAAAAACAGCAATGGGTGTGGCTCCTGGTTTATATGCCAGGGGCGGAGTGTTCTGAGTCGCCACACTCACTCACACACCTTTTCTGTCAAAAGAAATCAAGCGGAGGCAGGTGGAATGGAGGGCTCCTCCTACCAAGGTAACAGAGCTGACACACCCCAGCCCGGGAGCAGACACCCCCACCTGAGGAGGTCTCCAGAGCAGCGGCCCGGCCCGGATGCTGAAGGAGACGAGAACTGTCCCAGAAGCGCTTCCTCAAACCCTCCTCACCTCCCGCACCATGGAGGTTAAGCATGCGCTTGCTCAGGTCCCAACGTAGGCCTGGCGCACAACAGGGGGCTTACCATCAGCTCCTGCAGCTTGTCCACGTAAGCTTGCTTACACTGGTCCTCCCCCTCCTCATACAGCCAGTTCTCCGTCTCAGTGAGAAGGTTCAGGAAGCTCTCGTGATCCTACACAGAAGACAGCACACCTAGCAGATGGGACACTTGCAAGACATCCTCAGACTCAGCTCAGGTCCCTCATCACTCTGAGTCTATGGCCTGACTTCCAGCTAAACTAAAGGCAGGTCGGGGAGGGTCCTCACACCACAGAACAATCCACGAGTCAAGATCAAAGCCAAAGGCAAACCAGGGAGGGTCCTCACACCACAGAACAATCACAATTCAAGATCAAAAGGGCAGATGTGCCCAGTGATAAAGCCCAGAGGGTAGGAAGGGGCAAGACAGAAGGGTGAATGGACATGAGAATCACAGCAAGGAAGTGGGAAGAGTGAGGTGGTAACACGAGGACTATAACTAATGCCCTCAAATCCAGAATGCATACAAGTGCGTGAATGGAAAACCAATTTGTTCTGTGAACTTCCTCTCAGTTCACTGTAAAAGAATCTTCACAATAAAGTACTGGTCTCAGAAAGTGACTACCCTAACCTTTCACACACAGGCAAGCCACACTGGCCCCCACTAACTGCACTGGCCCCCACTAACTGCGTATGAAAGCAGTCTGGTCAGCTGGGCTTACATACGCCCTCCCAGAGCTCAGCACTGGGCAACTATGAGCTCTGCCTGTGGCCTGCCTCCTGGTCGCCTCTGAGGAGTGGCCAGGCCTGTGGATTACATGGCAGCTGAAGGGCTTCAGGACACAGATGGACAGGGCCACCACCCTTCTTCACAGTAACATCGCTTAGGACCCCAATTTTGGTCAATGACACACAAAATATGGTTATGGAACAGGGTTACCTTGTTCTCCTAAACAATTCCATTTCAGGTAGTAATTGTGTTTCACTTCCACAACTACCAGAAGCGAAGTGGGGTGTGATCCAAGCTGACGGCCCCCTCACTGGGCACCTGGCCCTCAGATCTGGGGGAGGTGTTTCTCGGCTCGGGCCCACCCCTACTTTAAGTCCCAGCTGTACGCAACCCATACGTGTCTGGAAAGTGCTGGGAGATCGTCGTGGACCCAAGACCGCAGGGAAGCAGCAGATTTGTGGGCTATAACACAGGGACATTCCCTTTAATGAGAGGCGGGGCTGAACGGACAACCAACTTGCCCGTGAGCTTTCCCTCAAATCACAATCAAGTTTGAAATAAACAGGGAGTTTTTTCTACAAAGCAGGCCAGGACCTCAGAGCTAAAGAAGACAAAGTCTAAATGACCCTTAAGGTCAAAATGAGCCCCTAAGATCATTCTAGATTTTCATCTACGTAATTTCTTTCTAAGTCTTGGGATCCATGAAGAGCGAAATTGACCTCAGGGGTCAAGAAACAGGACTATGTGAGAAAACAGTTCTATGAACAAGCAGCTGAGTAGACCAAAGTGCTCCCACCAGGCTGCTGTCCTCAGGACAGGCCGAGTTCTGTCCAAGCACACCGCTCTCCTTTTCACCTCTGCAGCCTCCACACCTGTGAACTGATGGACTCTTCTCAAGGTGGACGCCTCCTCCAGCCCGAGCTCTTCCTCCACGACTGCCCCCTACCAGCTCGACTCCTGACAAGGCTCCCGCCACACCATCAGTAAAGGAGGCTGCGGTATGCGAGCACGCATGGGCCTCTCTGGCCAAGGGCACGTGAGCGCTAACTGCTGGACTTACCTGCTCGCTTAGGAGTGCCTCGTACGGCCCCCCGCACAGCTTGTCTCTGAACTCGTACACATACTCCTCCACTGCGTTTTTAGCATCGTTTCGCTCTTTTTCCAATTTATCCTGCATCATCATCTTACCCTGCAGAAAGAGCAACCAGAGAAGCCAGTTCTCCACGTCTGTGATGCAAGCTCAGTGAGGTAGACCGCAGTCAGCAAGGCCGTCTGCACACACACAAACTGCCTCAACAGCTCTGACACCTCACGAAAACTTTCTTACAACGTTCTCTCTCTCACACACACACAATCTCACACAATATCCATCCACTGTTCACACACAGCCTGTCTGTCTGGGCGTGGGGGGGTGTGCTGCTAGGTTCAATACTAAGTGTACCATGGGTTCCTCTTCATGCCCAAGGGGGGAAAACCCACTATCTTACAGGCTCTGTTGTCAGAAGAGGCCAGTCCTTACTGAAGGACATCCTGCTTGGAAAGATGGAGAATGAGAGGAAGACCCTGAACCAGGTGGACTCACACAGTGACTGGCAATGTGGACTTGGGTGTGTCAGAGGGGAGGAAGGCGTAAGGCCAGGCCAGGGTTCAGGTCTTCTGGTCCCACGAGTCACAGCTGAGCCGATGGCATCTAGCCACATCACTGTAACTGCTGCAGGCCTGCCTAACCACAGCACTCCACTCAGAGGGGACACCAACACATCACCAGGATTTCACACAGCAGCCTTAACACATCTACATAGTGGGCACATCCTGAACCCCACTGTGCTCTGCAGTGACCTCTTGTCTGTCCACCACAAAGACCATACACAGCTGGACAGTCCAACCTCTTCTGGTTCCACCTGGCCCTGAGCCACAGAGCAGGGATGTGGGAAAGAACTCGAGGCATACAACCTCCTGCAAGAAGCTCATCAGTGCGACCTGACCACCAGAAAGCAGACAGACGGCCCGCGAGGGCAGAGGGCACGTACCTCGGTCTCGATGTACATGTTCAGGAGGTCCCTTCCCAGCTGCCACACTAAGTTGGCTTCCACCGGCAGCTCCACATTCACCACCTTCATTTTCGGTTTTTTGGCTTCTGGGGGCTGGTCAACTTTCTTTTCATTTGCCTTGGGAGGGTTAGAAAAGGGAAGGGCGGAGGGTTATTAAACAATCCTTGAAATCAAGCTATTCCTGTCACATATATTGAAGAGTTTGGCAAAAATGTAATCTTAAGGCCATAAAATTGGAAGCATATGAAAATCCACTTAACATCTACCTGTCTCTTGGAGGCTATGATTCGGCCCAGGCATGTCACCTGTTCCTTTAAGAAGTCATCAAGTTGTTGTTTAGCTTTTTCTAACTACTGTTCTGGACTGTCAAGTTGGAACCACCCCACAGCTGAAGCTCCAGCTGCTTTTCGGAGGTGTGAAGCGCACAGAAGGAGACCGCCTGTCTTTCTCCCCAAAAGCAGGTGGTGGATTCGAACTGTGCGCCTTTTCACTGCAATGCAATCCATCCTCCTAAGCCAGCAGGGCGCCGACTTTCTCTTCTAGTAGACACTTCCGCCGCCAAAATGCTGCTTTCTCAGGCCATGACATTCTAGATCCTTCAAGCACACCTGTGACTTCTAGTCTCTGAATTACATAGAGCCTAAAATCTGACCTCAGTGAGGTCAAGCTGACAAAAGGGAAGCAGACTCAGGTTAACTCAAGATCCAAGCATGTGGCTGGACACATGCCGCCCTCCTCAGCCTTCACTGTCCCCAGGCCTTGGCGCCAAGAGCCGTTCAGAGGCCTGGAGCCACCGTGGACGTGCACAGGCACAGGCCCCCCTGCTTACTCCTGGTCAACCTTGCGACCAGAAACGGTCAGTCAAGTCTCCAAAGCAGCAAGTAACAATCGCAAACTTAACGACACAGAAACAGGGCTCGGGAAGGAAATGCCTGCGGGCTCTCCGGTCTCAAGCCTTTTCTACATATCCATTTCTGTGGGTTTCAACCTACACAGACGGCAAAGAACATTATCTACAAGACTCAGATGCACCGACAGAAAGATGGAACCAAGGCAGCACAGAGGGACTGACTGGACAGCGACACGGGAAGGCAGGGGCCCAACAGGCACCAAGATTCCACCCATTGGATGATGAGCTGCTGAGACGTCAGTGGTTCACGCCCACCAGCTGCTCCAGGACAGAGGCTGCCGGCTCCTGGCCGCTCCTCCAGGATTCCAGCCTCAGAAATCCAGAGGCAGTTCTACTCTGCTCTACGGCCCCTGGAATCCACACAAGAGAACAGGATCCAATAAAAAAAAAAGATTCTTAAATTGGGGCACTTTGTGGAAGCAGCAGGCCCCAGGCCAGGGACGTGGCTCACTCAGCATTACGGAGACAAGACAGAAGTGCAGGTCCCATCTCCCAACTCAGAGGCCGCCAGCCAGTACCCGGTCAAAAGCCTCGGAAAACCCTAACACCCATCCTCCTCCCCAGACACGACACAGGTGGGAGACAGCTACTGGTGGGATAAACAGGTGAGACGTGACTATCACATGATGGCATTCCCAGCTGGTATGGTGGGGCAGCCTGTGGGCTGGGCTGGGTCGTGCAAGAGCCAGGACCTCACGGTCCTCAAGACCGTGAAATGCTACCCAGTGACCAGCACTGAGCACCGATGCCCACAGCACAAGCCAGCGATACCAAAACATCCACGAGAGCCCGGAGGCCAGCCCAACCTCCACCACATGGCACGAGAGCAGCTAGTAAGGGGTCCTCCTTCCACCAGGGGAGGCAGCCACCTTCAATCCCGTCAGCTCTTCTAGGACCTACTGAGGGGACAGAACCCCAGCTTGAGAACAGAAGTTCAGACGGCATGGAGCTTGTGAGCTGCTGGAGAGCAGGGGGTGAGATGGACAGGATGCCCCTCGGTCTCCCCTCAGGCAGACAAGCCTGGTCCTGCTGACTGCCACAACCCACCTGTAACCCTGCACCAGGTGGGCAAAAGCTCCCCATTCCTACAGCCACTGGAAGAAGGGGCACAAAGCATCCCCACCACAGAGCCCTGGAAGTCTAGTGCCCCTCAGGGGAGACCTGGGCCCCAGAGCACACAGCCACCCTGTCCAGCTGGTCCTTCACCTCGGGGTGCTTTTGTCCCCCCGATGGTCTTGGCTGAGACATGGGGCAGAGATGGCCCCGCGGACCGGCACGCTGCTGGCTGGAGAAGCTGGCTGTGGAGAGACGCAGTCAAAGGTGTTAGTGATCACAGGGTCAACAACGTCCAATGAAGGAAGCGGTCACTCACTTTGTCAACCTCTGGGGCTGCGTTCTCTTCTGAGGGAGGCTCAGGTGGAGGGGGAGACTGGGCAGGCTGGTGCCCATCGCTTTGTACCTGGGGCTGTGCTCCAGCGTCACTGCTCGCGGGCTGGGGGTTGTTCTGAAAGGGAAGCCCAGGCACAAAGCATGTAGAAAGCAAGTGTACGGATACACGCCCGCGGTTAGTCGAGCACTGTGGACAGTGCCCTCAGCTCAGAGGCTTACAAGCAGGGAGTCCTGGTAAACGCACAAGGCGCACAGGACACAGACGTCTGCTTGACCTGGAAGAAACGCTGTCAACAACATGTTAAGGCCTCTGACTGGTGGGATGCAGTCATAGCCCCCCTGCGAGGACACCACCTGATGGGGTAGACAGGAAACGGGCATCCACATGCACGTCCCCACAGGGCTCCTGGCTGACCCGCTGACAAGTCCGTCACAGAAAACAGCAGCTGTCACTGACCAATGCTCTACCCCCGTCGCCTGTCCTGGAACACGGAGACCTCAGGACAGAGGGGAAAATCTACGCCAGGCTTCCAGTCCTCAACAGCAATCTGTAGTGATCTGTGATCCGGGGCTCTCAGTACCCCGCACACGGGCCAGCTCTGCCGTCCACCCTGCAGCCTCCCACACCCTTCCTCATCACTGATGTCCAGACCCCAACGTGCTGGAAGATGAGCACTGGGACTGTGCTGAGAGGCCTTGCTCTTCCCAGAGCCTCCAAGTAGGAATCAGCATGAAATGCTCCACGCCAGTCGAGGATGCCATGAGGTCCTGCCTTGGCCCTCTGCCTGTCCCTCACCTGCATGCGCTGCTGCCCCAGGTCACCCCAGCTACCGCCCTGTCATCAGTCCCCAGGCACCAGCCATCAGAGTGGACCCACCACACACACGTCCACAGGAGCAGCCCTGCCTGACCTCCTGCACGCCTGCTTCTCCCCGGGCCCACCTGTGCGAAAAAAGCGGGCAACTAAACCCAGCAGCCACACCTGCCAGGGAACCATTTCCAGACCCACCCGGGTCAGGAGGCTAGGTTGGTTTTCACTACGTCTAAATTCACCTCCCCACGCCACGCCTTCCAAGCAAAGACGCCTTTGTCACTGGGACTCAGGCCTGACCCCCTTCCTCCTGGCTCACCACCCAATCCAGCAGTCACTACCACTAGGACCCTAATCCTGAAGGGACACACCATCAGCCTCCCACATCAGCGTGCAATGTCCGCTGGCGGGCCACACTCACATCGCAGTCAGGGGGTTCAGCCACATGCTGGCCTGGATTCTCCACGCTGGCATCCACGGAGGCTGCTCCGCTGTCCTCGGTGGGCACTTTCTCCACCATGGAGGCCGTGGACACGGTGAAGATGCCGTGCGTGTTGATACGCACTTTGACTTTCACTTTAGACTTTTCTCCGTCTTTCTGTGCTGAAACATTCTGGACCACAAAGCGGCCTAGAACAGAAAGAGACCGGCCATCTGAGAGGTCAGCTCCTCAGACACCAAGACCAAACCCAGCGCGGGTAGGTGGATTCTGCCTCGTGGTGACCCTATCGGGGTGGTCCCTCGGCATTACGAGGGGCTTCTTCCTGCAGACAGTGGCTGGAGGATTTGAACTGCCTCTCTGGTAGCAGCCTGACACTTAGGGTACCGACTCCTTTGTAAACAAAAGATACGAAGACAGGAAGTGGTATTCCCTCATTCCCTAGCCCCATGACAGGAACAAATCTTTAATGTACACTGCAGACACCACCTCAGAAACAGACCCAGAGCAGACAACCATTCACCTTTAGAGGAGCTCTGGTGGTGTGGCCGCGAGCCTCAGCGGTTCGAATCCACCCATCGACTGTGCAGCACAGACAGGCCATCTTCTCCCATTAAGACGGAGGTGTCAGAACCCTGATGAACTGACATGTTTCTGGCTGGTTTTGTGGGAACCTTCCAAGATAGTGCACCACAGACACTACCCTGCTGCCACACGGAACATGTGACTGCCCGGTGCCCACACAGACAGGCCCGCTCCCCGGCCACGCACGCAAACCCAGGGCAGAGTCTGTGAGCAAGTGAAGAGACAGGCGCTGTCGGGAGCGCATGAGGAACTGCAAGACCGTACTATGAGTTTAAGGGCGTGGGAACGGCCAAAGCCCAAACCAGAACTGGTGCTGAGGACAGAAGCCTATCAGAGCCAATGCTGTGAGCACGCTCACATGATGACCTCTGCCAAGTGTCCCTGAAGTTGGCTGATGGCTTCGTCAGCAGGTGCACACAGTCAGGGTCCTGCAGAGCCCAGGCTGGGACTGCTGGGCTCGCCAATGATGGACACAGGGAGGACACAACCAAAGCAGGCGGCCCTGGTCTCCTCTGTCAAAGGGCAGCATGGGGCTCCAGCCTGGTGTTCAAGAACGGATGAGGAGGTAGGGTGCTTGGCAGCAGGAGGTGCTGGGAACAGACCACAATGAAGCAGTGGGTCCGCGAGCACCGTTCAGAGAACAGCCTTCTCGTGTACAAGCCAGGAGTACGTGGGAGGGAAGGGGGCTGCAGGATGTCATCAGGAAATGAGACGCTGTGCTGGAGGAACATCACCCTCTGCCTTTGGAAAATACCAGACCCCGCTGGTCTAAGAACTCAGCTAATTCCCAACCAAGTCAAGTCATGAGAACTTTCTGGAAAGAAAAGGAAACCCATGGTCTGGACATCCAGTCTACACACAGTGTTGATGCTATTTTCAGATGCCCAAAGTTGACACCTGGTCACAGCGACCCACGAAGGACGACAACACCCAGGGGAAGCCGGGCACCACGGTTTTCTCTCCAGGAGCCACTGAGTGCATTCTAACCACCAGCCTTTAGCATGGCAGGTGACCGCTATGCCACCAGGTGCCCTGCAAAGGAGCACACAAAAGCAGAGAGCACAGAGCAGGCAGGACCCCTCCCTGAGATGACCTCCATTCAAAAGTGTGGGCAGGGGGTTAGGAGGGACTGATGGAGCCAGGGAGCTGGGAGGGCCTGATGGGGCGGGGTAGCTAGGAAGGCTTGGGGGGGGGGGCTGGGAGGGCCTGATGGGGGCCGGGGGGCTAAAGGGCTGATGAGGCAGGGTAGCTAGGAAGGCTTAGGGGGTGGCTGGGAGGGCCTGATGGGGGCCGAGGGGCTGGGAGGGCCTCACAGGGGGCGGGGCAGCTTGGAAGGCTTAGGGGGTCGCTGGGAGGGCCTGATGGGGGCCGGGGGGCCTGGGAGGGCTGACGGGGCAGGATAGTTACGAAGGCTTGGGGGGGGGCTGGGAGGGCCCTGGTCATCAGGCACCATGACAAGCAGTGACCAACCAGCAGTGCTCATGACCATCAGTGTCATCAGGAGAACGGATGGGTGGGTGGGGTCAAAGCTCTCTGAGAAAAACTGACAGAAATGAAAACCAAACCCAGTACCATTAGCTCATGCTGCCTCCCAGGGATGGGACCAGACCACACCGTCCTTCTCTCACAGTGGTTGATGGGCCCGACCTCTCAATAGTCTTCCATTAGCAATGTCTAACATGCTGCACCGCTAGGGCTCTACGAGGCAAGACTCCATGTCTGTCAAGTCAGTTCCGACTCACTACAGTTCTGTGAGGCAAAACCACCTGCCCACCGGGTTACCGAGGCCATAAACCTTCATGGAGACTGTCCCATCTCTTTCCTGAGAAACAGCTAGACAGGGCAAACCTGTAAGTTTTTCAACTAATGCTTATCTCATTGTGCCACCAGCACCCCATGATAATATAAAAGCACAAACATCAGAAAAACTTCAATGGATAAGCCAAGTTTTAAATTCAGAGTGAGGGGTTTGTGCAGGGACAAGTACCCCTGGGCCCACCAACCGTCTCCTGACCTATCTCCCCACACACAGGAACGTTGTGCTCAGCTCTGCCAGGACTCAGAACGCGGGGCCAAGTCCATGCTGAACAGCAGCTGAGACTCGTTAGCTCAAAGCCCAAGCACACAGCACTCACCTATTTTTGCTTCTGGATATGGTACACCCTGCGGGTCAGAGTAGAAAGCTTCCAGCTCAAAAGGCCCTTTTCTGTAGAAAGTGAGGACTTTGGAGAAGGGGGCCGGGTGGTTCCGGGGGAATACCTCATGAACGCTGGTGAGGAAGCAGAGAATGGGGCTCAGCTCCTGGCAGGGTTATGCGGGCTCCCACCACTGTGCCAACTGGGGGACACCCACAGCGGAGTGGAGACAAGCCCACTGCTTTCCAGTCAATTCCCATTGAGCAACCCCCCAGGACAGTGTCCGAGCCCAGGTAGCGGGCCATGTAAACGCTTCATCTTCAGCCCACAGTGCCACCAGGGCCCCTTTCGCCCAGCATACACACTGCAAACAGCCCGTGCTCAGCCTGCATCTTTACATGAACCAATGGGATGCCACCTGGAGGGAGGGGCTGCTGCATACCCTTCAGCATCTTCCACGTCATGGTTCCAGACCAGAGAGATTGGGAAGGGAATCACATCCGTGATGGAGAACTCTCTCACTTTGAAGACTGGGGAAAGGATCGCACACTGCAGAGAAGAAGAGGCAATCAGAACGCGGAATTCACCCCGATTTCAAGCCAAGGTGCCCAAGTTCACATCTGAAACGTGCCACCGAGGAATACATCCCAAGTGTAAAGAATTTACTACCTAAACCCTACTCACTACCTGCAGACACCAGCCAAGCACAGGACGGAAAACACACGGTCACCGTGTCACCTCCCTCACCACCACCTTGCAGGACCGAGCAGAGCAGCCGAGGCTGCAGGCTTCAGGGCATCCCTGCCTCATCGTTCTCCTGCGGAGCGGCTGGGGGCTCACCCCACTTACCTCCCTGGTTGGCAACCTAGTCACTTAATCACTGCAACACCAGGGCTCAACAGCTGCAGGACTGTGATGGTTCAACAGCAGTAACGTTTACTAAGCGACCTCTGAGAGGTTCCCCAGCCCTAACTACACAGAGAGAACACTGCCCTCCACAGCCTCCCAAAGCCTCGAGGCACCAGGGGAGACCGCAGATGGCCACCTTCTACATAGCACAGACAAGGCAGATGGCCACGGCACTGAGAGCTGCTCGGTCAGTGCAGACTGGTACTGACCCTCGTGTGACACAAATATGGCCTGAGCTGGACAGTGACCCTGCACAGCTGCGTCTCGATCATGCTCACAACTGTGGTGCGATTAGCAAACTTGTACTTCAAATCAATTACACAGATCAAAGAGGACAATGATAAACTGCAAGCTTGTAACATACAACATCCAAAAGAGGCAATAATCACCCACATTTGCCATTTAGCATCCAAGTTTAAAAACAAAGCTGGGAGGAGCAAACCAGCTACCAAGTGGCTAAGAGACCAGAAGAGACGAGTCAACGGCTCCATTCAGCATTTTAAAACACAGAATTCCAGGTCAGCAGGCCTTGTCCAGACTGCAAACTGAAATCCCCACCTTTGCAGAATCAGAGGTGTACTCTGTAGGAGTTAACCAGCTCCCCAGGAAGCCCCAGCGAGGAGCAAAGCACGCCAGCACACACTCCACGTTCCTCACTCAGCCCTGCTGGCTCTGTCTACAGAACATCTCGCCTTATGTTCAAACACCACTAACCAGACGAAAAATGTCACCTTAATCACAACTAGTTTAACTCCACTTGACTATACCTTAACTGTATTAACTATAATTAACGCTCTTACCAACCAGATACAATTTCGGAGCTTTTGCTGTGCTCAATGCATGCCACACGGCTACTCCTCGCTCAGCATCTGGCTATCGCACCGACTAAAGGAAATCCTACAATCAGACTAGGGTGGGCGTGAGCGGCATGCACAAGGCGACCATGAACTCCAGACCAGAGTGACGCTGCCGTTTTCAAGGCTCTGTGACAACGTGACCAGTGCAGGATTCATACCTCACCAGTGAGTCGGTAATACAGAACCTAAGCCCACAGACCCCACGGCCAGCAGAGTCCACCCGGTGGAGAGGACGAGCTCGCGTCCGTTTGTCTATCAGGCAGTTTGCCCACTAATCTACTCTCCCTGGCTGCCTGTGCTGTTGCTGAGGGTCTCGCATTAATGAGAGTTAACACACCTAACCTGCCCTGTGCACACGTCTGGCAACAACAAACACCAACATGTGTGATGTGCCAGCTAGCTGAGCCCCAATTTTTTGGTGACCTGTGCTTAAGTAACAACACCATTTGCACACAGCACGACTTTTCACTTTCCAGCCTAGTCTCTGGAACCCCATCCTGTCATTTAGTGAGGACAGACAGCTCACCGTACATTCACTGGGTTCTTCAGATTCAAGGAAGAAAGTACTTTCCCCTCATAGCAAACCAGGAATCAGCACTGATTATCAGCCAGCAGCACAAAGCAACTTGGAGACCCTCGTAGACACAGCAACCAAGGCAGATGGGCTCACCTGCAGTGCACACCCGCAGACCATGGCTGCACCTGGTACCTCCAGTGAACATGGCCCCGTACCTGCAGTGCACACCCGCGGGCCACGGCTTCATCCGCATTAAGCGTGGTGCTGACGTCCTTCCGAAAGAACCTGGTGATGGCTTCTTTCACAGCAGGGATCCGGGTGGTGCCTCCAACTATCTCAACCGCACTCACGTCCTCTACTTTCAGCTTCGTTTGCTCCATCAGTGTATGAAGGGGTCTGTCTATCCTCTGCAGAAGGTCAGCACAGAGCTCTTCAAACTGTGACCTTGGCAGAAACAGGGAGAGTTCAGAAACCCTCGGGAAAGAGATGTGACAGCAACCTCCTTTTCCTTACTTCGTCTGAAGTGTGTCAGAGATGAGGAGGACGGCACAGGACAGGGTTCAGGTCTGCTGCTCGTGGGGCTGCTATGACATGGCACACCAACAACGACATGCCCCACGTGCACCAATCAACCCTGACCTGCTCTCCCCACAAACATACGATACACACAAAGAGAATGGAGTTCTACAGCTATTTCAGATGGTCACAAAAATTACTTGAGAAAAAACCTCATGTTCCTAATTACTGTTGTGTGTGTGGAGCCAAACTCGACTCACAGCAGAGCCTGTATAGGTTTCTAGGAACTAAACTGCACAGGAGATTTTTCTCCTTTAGAGCAACTGGGGGATTCAAACTGCTTGCCTTTAGATTGTCAACATGTCTCCGGGACGCCAAAGCCTCTTTAGAGGTAAAGATTGCCACCATACTTCCTTCTTACGTGACCAATACTCTCTTTAGTATTTCCATTCACTTCTCAAAGTATCTGAAGGAAGCCAGTATGCCACCGTTGTGGAGTGCTCCTCTCAGTGGCTCCAAGTGAGGGAGCAGGGGAGCAGAACTAAGGAAGGTTTCTGAGGCTGTCACTACGGGGAGGGCGACAAAGGGCCGAGGGACGCACATCTCTAGCGGCAGACAAATGAAAATGCTTAGCTGCTAATCCCCAGGTCGCCACTGTTGGGGAGAAAGTTGAGGCAGTCAGTAAAGAGGACAGTCGTGAAAACCCTGTGGGCAGCTCTCCGTCCTGTGGGGCTGCCCTGTGTCAGAACCCAATCTACAGCAGGGGGCCAGCTTGAACTCTTCTTCTGTAAGAAGCTACTGGTGGGCTAGCACCTTGCTCTTGAGAATTAGGTACTTAAGTACCCTAGAACCAGTACACCAAAAAGAATACACTGTTGAAGGCTCTTAGCAAAGCTCTACCATGTATAGATTCCTCCTTACAGACTTGGGAGCTCTAGTGGCCTATGCTAAGGAGCCGTGTTGCCATCCCAAAGGCAAAGGTTTTGAATCCACCAGCTGCTCCAAGGGAGAAAGATGGGCATATTCCCCTTGTATGATACAGTGTCTCTGAAAAGCTCGTGGAGGGTCAGCTGTGAGTCAGTTCTGATTGGACAGTACACAACAACTTAACAGAACTATCTGTAAGTCTACCAGGGAGCAATGTGGCCACTCAAGCCTCGGGCCACACACCATCCAATGCTGGACCTGGGCTCTGGGTCTGGGCGGCGGCCCAGCTGCAAGCCCACCTGCTCATCTTCCCCGACACATCCCTGTCATCCATCAAGCACTCGATGTTCATGGGTATCTCCGTGCTGATGGAACTCATGAGCTTTTTCAGCTTCTCACACTCCTGAGACAGGCGGAGGAGGGCGCGGCTCTTGGACTTGACATCCAACTTGTACTTGGCTTTAAATTCGGCACAAAAATGTTCCACCAACTTTTCATCAAAGTTTTTCCCTCCTAAGAAAGGATCAAAAGCTGTTCCCAGGACCTAATGTGAAAACAAGAAATAATCTGCTTACGGATTTGTAACTAGAATCTTAAACACAGCTTCTTGAACAGTGAAACAAAAATAAACTCAAAACTTCTACCCATTACTACTGCAAAACCCAAAGCAACCACACAATTCAAACAGAAAACAGGTCTCCTCCTGCTGTAACCACATAACGAGGACCCTGGCAAGCTTGCCTCATGTGGCTGGAGCCCTTGGGACTGCTACAACCATCGCGTCCCCAAGGAACCAGCCTGAGCAGCCCAAACCCCTACACAGCAGCACAATGCAGAGGTCCTGGGGCGCAGCACCACAGCAGAGAACACAGCCAACACCCCGGGACCTGGGTCTCCAGTGTTACTGACTTACCTTCAGCTTCCCCTTGTTGAAGGCGCAGGCAGACACCTGAAAGGCAGAGTGTCCCATGTCAACAAACACCACAATCCGTGGGTCATCATCCAGGCCTGGGAGATCTGGCCTGTAAATCCCGTAGTTCACAGCAACTACAAGAAAAAAAGGATGTTTCAACTCTTCAGTTCAGGGCCGAGCCTCACGTCCAGCCCCACATGCAGGAAGGCCAGCTGTCTAGGACAGGAGGACAGGTCAGCTTCTCCTCACACCTGGCTGCAAGGCACCCATGGTTTTTCCCTTTCCAGTAACGCTCTATTGATCTCAACAAACAAAAAGAACATGGAAACAGCCCAGATGTCCAACCATAATAGACTGAATTAAGAAATTATGGTGCATTCATATGATGGAATACTACACAGCATACAGGAGTAATAATTCTGCAAATTACTATCTAACTTGGGAGGGACTAGAGAGTATTATGCTGAGTGAACTAAGTCAGTCCCACAAGGACAAATACTGTATGAGCTCATTATTATAGAATGTGTATGAGGATCCGGGTGGGGGGTGGGGCATGTGTGGAAGCACAGGAATGAGGACGTGCAGGGGAGGGGGGGATTAGTCAGTGGGTTGTACAGATTGCTATGTAGGGGGTGAGGGAAATTAGAAGAATCTGTTCTGGAAAACAATGTATTCAAATTTGGTAAATAAACTAATAAAAAAAAATAACCAAAAAATGAGGAACACCACATACATACATGCTGTGTAGATAATGTGACATCAGTCATCAGACTCAATACAGGGTACTTGCATTTCAACCCCAATCTGCTGGGCAACATCTTATCCAAAGAAGAATACATCACTACAACAGCTGTAGTTTCTGTCTGGATTTTAAATTCAATGCAAACATCTGACCTGCCTGTTGTTTTGATGTGCCGTCCAGTGGCCTGTGACCTGTAGCGACCTTATGTGCAACAGCTCTGAAGCCTGCCATGTCTTGAGCCATCTCACTGACTCTGACACACCAACCCCCTCAATGCCCCAGTGACTCTATCAATCCCTGTCGTCCGGGGTCTTCCTCTGTGTGACACTTCTTAAATATTTGTGAGCCGCCTAAAATCTCTGCGCCGAACACCTGATCCAGAACCTGTTTTCCTCAGAACTCACCAAGGAACTAAAAAAAAAAAGATGCCTCTGTGGAACAGCCTAGACTGTGGCCTTGCGCAGCTGTGCACAAACGACAGCAAGACCCAGGAGCTGCATATGGTCAGCACCAAACTAACCCGAGTGTCGGCAGTTCAAACCCAGCAGCACCCTGTAGGTGCTCTTTTTGTATAGCCACAGCTGTCACCGCGAGCTGTGAGAGGTAGTGGGGGCTGAGCCCCGCACCCCCTGTGCTGTTAGCTGCAGTGAGGGGCCGAGACCACACCCTCTGTGCTGTGAGAGGTAGTCGGGGCTGAGCCCCGCACCCTGTGCTGTTAGCTGCAGTGAGGGGCCGAGACCACACCCCCTGTGCTGTTAGCTGCAGTGACACATGGGTGGGAAGGGGCTGGTTGGGGAGGAGGTGCTGGGGTCATGCCTCAGCACAATGCCCCGCAAATGGCCCTGGTTTACCCAGCTACAGTTCACTAACGCAGGGGAGAAGGAAAACTTAGCATTCCTCATCAAGAAAGTTGTGAAATTCCAAAATTTTAACATTTTTATCAAAAGTTGTTTGTTTGCTCTACAATGCTAAAACTATTAAACTACATTCAATCAACGTCATCAGGAGGACTAAACAAATTTACCAGCGCATTTCCTAAGGAAGAGAAACAACTAAGCTCGACAAACCAGTGACTTCTCACGAACCAGAGTCCTCTGAGAGCGCAAACGTCTGTCTTCACCTCGAACTGGCTTTCTTTGCATGGCCATGAAGCAAGGTCCCCAGAGGGCCGAGCCGCTCACCTGCGGTCATGTCGTTCATGAGGCGGAGGCAGTTGAGGCCGACGATCTGGGCAGCGTCCAGCACCGAGCGTCTCTCGGCGTCCGTGAAGAAGGAGGGCACCTGCAGAGGAGCCACAAGCCGCGTGATGAGCTCACAAAACGCTCATGCTGCGTGGCCGGGTCACAGCCTCGGAGTAAGCCACGGGCCTGGCCAAGCTGCAGGACAGGAAACTGGGCCAGGCTGCCTGGCCTGTCCCCACGTGTTCAGAAACAAGCACTGCTCCCGTAAGGCTGCCTCAAAAGCCTTCACGCCACAAAGTCAACTCACCAATGTGCTTGCAGGTCCCAAAATGTCATTAAAACCTGGCTTCTGAGCTATTCTTCAATCCCTACAAACACCTGGGTATCCTAATACTGACCTGACATTTACTACTAAATCCAGTACAGCCTGTGGAAGGCAGAAGCCATGCCAGGCGGAAAGCCGGCAGAGGAAGCAAACTCCTGTGGGCACCACTAAAATGATGGACAAAGGAGGGAGATGGCACCTGGCAGAGGTGCAAACTGCCATGGCAGGAAAGGGCCTGGACCCTGCACCTGGACCTCTCGGGCTTCCGAGGACAATGGCAGATGTCGGCAATGCAATGCCACGTCACAGAGCTGGGTCGAGCATGCACCACCACAATTCACAGAAGCCAGAAACCAACATGAAAGCAAACAAAGCACAGCCACACCCAGCCTGCCAATTCCAACCCGCTGACCCCACAGGGCAGAGCTGGCCACACGACTCCCAAGACTCTACATCTCCACGGAGGCCTGACTGCACTCCAGCAGGGCGGCTGGCGGAGCTCAACCACAGGCTCCTGGGCCCAATGCTTACGTCACCAAACCAACAGAGCTTATCCCAGAGCCGACTCTGTCCTCAAACCAAACCACAAACCCGGCCACTGAGTCAATTTCAACACACAGCAACGCCTCCACTGGGCTTCCACAGCTGTGTACAAGAACAGGAGAAGCCTGCTGGGCTCCAACTGCCACCGCCACTTGGCTGGCCTTCTGCTGACCCCCGCTTCCCCTGAGGAGCAGCGACAGAGGTGAGGTCAATGAACAGTCAGCCAAAGCTGTGAGGCTGTTCCATGCACAGCCCCGGCAGCTTCTAGCTTTCCTAAACAAAACGCGGGCAAAGGCAGCTCAGAGGCGGCGGGCCCAGGGCCTTCCCTGCCGCGTCTAGGATCACTAACAGGGTCAGCATTTCAGCAGGACTAGGCAGAAGGGTAGGGTCTGACCACACAGCCACACAATCATTTAACCGCAAAGAGTTGGAAAGTTGGTTCAGAGGCTCCCAGGATGCTCTCCTCACAAGGCAGCAAGTGCGTGCCAAGGGGGCTTGAGGCCGGTTTCTTAAACCCAGAGGCCCCCTCTCAGGAACGCTCAGGATTAGATAAGAACTGAAAAAGAAAGCGACTCCGCCTTCTTACATTTGGTCAGAGATGGAGATGTCGCTAAGGGGCAGCACCTGTTTCTTTGTTGTTTTTTTTTAATTTAATTTCTTTATAAGGGGCAGCACTTGTGGCAGACACCTCTTCTCTCACAAAAGCAGAGGGAGACCCCCACTCCTTGGCCTCTACCTAGCTGGCCGAAAACGCATAGAACCTGTCCCCACGATCCTGGAACGCTGAGCTGACACTGCAACCGACTCTGAATCCTGGCTTGTCTGCTTCAAAGCTTCTCCAACAGCAAAGCAGGGGTGCGTGGGGGGGGGGCTGCTCATTTAAGACCCACCCCAGGCCTGGGGGCTGCTGGGGACCCTGATCACACGTTAATGGCCTGGTTCTGGGCTCAGGGAGATCTTTCCACCTGTCCAGCTTCCCGTGTGCACACATGCCCAACAACGAACTGCCTGCTCTCCTCCGATGGGACAGTGCATTTTCTTAAGCCCCACAGGATTCCTTCTGGTGTCACTTTCAAGGAAGAAACTCTGCCAGAAGGCAGCCACCCAACAAGTGGTTGACACCTTCCCCAGCCCACCTGTCCATGCCTAATACCAATGCTGGCAGTCCAGAGGAGCTGAATGCCTTCCCTACCCAACCTGTGCACGCCTAACACCTCTATCGGCAGTCCAGCCACCTTCCCCAGCCCACCTGTCCACATCTCAGTCCAGCCACCTTCCCCAGCCCACCTGTCCACATCTCAGTCCAGCCACCTTCCCCAGCCCACCTGTCCACACCTCAGTCCAGCCTCCTTCCCCAGCCCACCTGTCTACTCCTGACACCCCATCTGGCATCTAGCCACCTTCCACAGCCCCCCTTGTTCAAGTCTAACACTACTGTCAGCCATCCAGAGGAGGTGAATGCCTTCCCTAGCCCACCTGTCCATGTCTAACACCACATAGCTGGCAGTCTGGCCACCTTCCCTAGCCCAGCTGTCCACACCTGCCACCACGGTTGGCAGTCCAGCAGAATACTCTAACAAAACTGTCTTTCCATGGTGGTATTCAGGGAGGCAAACAAAGCAAGCCGGGTGCCACGCCGCTCTCCACTCACGGAAATGACACAGTCCGTCACAGGCTTCTTGAGGTTGTTTTCTGCCGTCTCCTTCAACTTGGTCAGCAGCATGGCTGTCACCTGCTCCACGCTGAACAGATGCTCCTCTCCCATGTACGTCACCTGTGGGCGAGGGCAGGACTGTCAGCACCACCGAGCAAGCCGTCCTAACTCCTCCAAGCTAAGACAGGTTCCCTCTCAGAGCTCTTTAAGAGCTGCTTACGAGGCAGGAAGAACCAAAGGCAGAAAAAAAGGGGACCTCAGCACTCGAGGTGGAGGGAGAAGAGGTTGCAGTGCCACCCACCCTGGGTGCTGGTCCAAACGCCCTAGAATTGGCTGAACTTCCCCTCTGATGGACCACTGGGATGAAAATGATTTTGTGTGATCACAGACAAAAAAGCTCCTACCCATTTATAGTGGAAGCAGGAGAGGCATCCATTTCCAAAATGGCTTGCCTCCAGAAACGTTAGTAACTTGGAGAAATGACGAAAGTTATACAAGTGTTCAGGTCTTTTGTTCATAGGGTCACTATGAATCGTCTACAACTTGACAATTAATAACAACAACCCATTTATAAAGAGAGTTCAGCGGTGTTACACCATCAATGGGACCTTCCATTCAGATTAAAAAAAACCATGTTATCTCAAATATGCTTCATCTGTTCAATAGTCAAACAGCTGGAAGGAACACAAACGAGGTTACAGAAGTCAAGTCTATACAGCTGGAGTAACTGGTAGAGATGAGGTCAAGTTTATCCACTACACTTTCAAGTTTAGAAAGATCTGTCCAGGGGTTAAAAACGTTAAGAGCCCGGTCCAATCAAGGAATGTGAAAGAAACGCTGAGTAGTAACCGATCGATTAAAACCAAGACAAAGGAAACCCCGAACCCCCGAGCCTGTCCCCAAGCCCACCCCAGTCCTGGGGACCCCACGCAGGCGGGGCACAACTGCTGAGGCTGCTGTGGCTGTGACTGTGCAGAGGTGACGCTGGAGCCTCCCGGGGGCCCTCCTTGGGAGAAGGACCTGCTCTCCCCACAGGTGGGCAGACCATCTCCCACACAGACAAGCCCAGCACACCCACACCGTGTTGTCCAGGAGGTCCTGGCTCATGGCCACCCTAGGGACAGCTCTACGGGAAGTAACCTTGGTTCTGAATGGAAGGCTGCCGAATGACGTTACCTGTATCCCAACGCCACCGTTACTCAGGGGGACCAGGTCATAACTTAAGTTTTCCTTCTCTGTTTGAACGAAGGGGTCACTGAATGCGCGTCCATGGAACCTCTTGAAGTGAGATACTGTATTGTTTGCATGAGTGACTTGCTGCAAAAGAAATTTAAGATTTTTCATTTTCTCTCATTTCAGTCTTCATCAGCATTCAAAACCATTTCATATCTAATTATCTAATAAAATCAGACGCGGAAGTGTCCTTCCCTGAGGACCTGGTCACCCCCGTCCGTGGCTGCTTGGACGCTGAGGCTCCCTTTCTTTCAGGAATGTCCGTGACAGAGGCAGGAGGGGACAAGCGTGTCCCAAGGCCTCCAATCCACACAGCATCCAAGTGCACCAAGGCTCTCAAGGGTGCCAACCACCTATGTTACTTCTCCTCCTCCCTCACAACACACGTGATATTCAGGTGTGCCCACGGGCCGACCGTCAGCTCAGGAAGCCCTCCAGAGAAAGCATGCTTGTCAGGCTCACACGCAGCCAAGCAGGCGCGACACACACATTCTTGTGCCGTGTAATATACAAACTGCCACTTCCACCAACAGGTCAGATGCCTAAATCCTCGAAAGCATGCGGGGGCGGCAGCCGCAACGGTGGGGAGGCGGCACTGACCGGCAGGACACGGCCACGTGCTGCTGTCTCCAATCCTGAGTGCTAATTCTTGGGTTGCTGATGCTGTCAGCATGGACTTCCCATGTCCCTGCACCCACCAGGAGGACCCCCACCTGGTCCTGTGCCCCTCACAACCGTTGTGTCGGAACCTACTGCTGCAGCCGGTGGGCCAGCCCAGCTCACTGAGGAGTAGCCATTCATGCCACCTTAAAGAGAGCTGGTGCACACATGTTAAATGTGGCCGCAACTCTCGCCTCTTCAGCAGCTCCATGAAACCTGAAGACGCATGGCACAGCCTCATCTCAGTGGCTGTAACAATCTGCCAAGCAGGGACCCTGGGATGGGGTGGGAAACGGCACTTTCAAATGTCAAGAAAACTAGGAAGAAATAGGCCAAGATGTTAACAGACTACTTGTCAACATATCTCAGGATGAATTCAAGATAAATTAAGCTCTGTTTTCGACTTGATTTGTATGGCTCAGATGACTGGCATGCCAGAGAGCGATCGGTGAGACTCTTATTTAAACAGAACACTAATTAAAACGACAGGATGAGACTTAGTAGCCACCTGAGTACCAAGCGTCACGTGATGCCTGTCCTCTGGTGTACTGGAAGTGGAGGCCCGCTGCCTGGAGCTGGACTGTTGTAAATGTGGAATACAAGCCCGTCAGTATTCAGAAATGTCCTAGGGTCTAGACGATGTCTGCCTAGCAGGCCACAGGCCAATCTGACCTCAGCCCACTCTCCTCCAACAAGAGACGAGACACAACTTCCGTCCTGGATCTGCTGTGATGGCCACGTTTAGGACATCGTTTCTCGGTGTCACATCACCTTCCAGACTGATGTCCTACTGGGCACTTGTTCCCGTCGCCTCTCTTCCCTCGCCAACCTCACCAGGCACGAGACAGTATTAAACCTATCACAGGGGTTTGTTTCTTTAACCTCTTAAAATACGCCCTATTTACTCATTCCTCTCCTCTCTACACCCAAGAGTGTTCAATCACTAACATCAGCAGACTAATAATGTGACCCACAAACAACTGAATCCCCTACTAATCACATCTTTGAAAGAAAACAGGGTAAGATGCATCTCAGTTATCTACGTAGCCCAGCATACCCCACACACTCTTCCACTCTGAAACCAGGGCACGGTTGCTTCTCCACTTCACTCATTTATTCTAATCACATGGTATTTCTCAGGTATTGGGCACTTCTGATCCAAGCAGTCACATGTCAAACGTTCAAAAGCTCCAGGTGGTTACTCTAATGACAACTGCGATGGACCACACAGGTTTGGACAAGGTGGTTTCCAAATCCTATCTCGGTTTAGTCACTTGCAAATGCTAGTAAATATGGAACTTGTAACAAGTTTCTTCTATAAAACGACTTGGTAACAGTAAGTATCTTACTTACAATCTTTGAAACAACTATACAAACTATAGAACTAGTAAAACTACTAAAAATTCAAGTGTGCAGCTGAGAAGGTTACAGTGGATTTTGGTCAATCAAAGCAGAGACAAGGAACAAAAGAGCAGAACGTTTCTCCAACAGAGAGAACCTGCAGCGGCCCAGCTACTTCATCTTGTGTTCTTCTCAAAGGTTGGCTGTTTAAAACTTTCCCTCCTTGGAATTCCTTTAAAGAACGTACCTGATTCTTTGCTGCAAGTCCAATTGTTCTGTTTTTCAATCCAAAGGATATTACTGACCTGGAGGAAACACAAACCATGTTTCAAAGGTGTTAGGAGCATAAACACGCCTGTTTTTAACTGGTAAGGACGTCTAACCACTGCTTGCCTACGGCAGGGAGAGCACAAATGATGGAGGAACAATTCCAGAGCGGCCAGCTTCCATCACGCCCTGGACGGGGAGGCCTGGACCCACGGCTCTCCGCACCTCAGCAAGGTGGCTGCCCTGCTGCCCGAGGTCTGCTAACATCTCTGATACCTGTGCAATCCCCAAACTCCCCATTAGGGAGTCCCTCGAGAGCAGTGGTCTCTCAAAGGGCACTGGGCAAGCCTCGCAATACAGAACCCCCAGCTGCTCCCTGGCAGACAGACCTGAGTAGCAACGACAGCCCTGTGGAGTCCTGGGCAGCTGTATTCTGCTCTCTGGGGTCCACCAGGAGTCAGAACTGAGCCACGGCAGCGGTTTTGTGGATCCCTGCCCTCAAAGTGGTTTGGACAGGTACACAGTATCATTAATTTGGCCCTAAGCACTCAATCAACATAAAAATGTGAGATAAGCCTGCCTCCCTCCTGTCCCCACCTAAACATTTAAATGCCCTGGTTGTAGCTGGCCTGGTTCCACCATCCCTACCACTGGCCTCCTCAGAACCGAACTCCAGATGTGACTGTGAACCCGCGTCACATCTGGAAGGTGCCCCACCTGGGGATCACAGCAGGGCCCTGGATAAACGTGGAAAGAGTGACCACCAGTCAGTCCCACCAAGTACTGAAAAGGTGACATGTCTCTTAGAATCTTAGCAATGCAAATGAACCACTCACGGGGAGTTCCGCGAGGGGGAGGCCACGTCAGACGGGTGAGAGGAGTGATGGTGAGTGATGAGCAAGGAGGAGAAGCCAGCTGGGGAATTGGGGCAGCGTGGAACCAGAGCCCGTGCAGAGGGGCTCTCAGTCCTAGACCCGGATCACGGCAGCTGGTGCTAAGATCTCAGAAGCCCTTTCAGGTACCTCCCAACAGAAAGTCAACTCAGATGCCCCTGCCTGGGCGGGGTGAACTCAACGAGCAGACAAGGATTGCCAGGCAACACAATTCCGTTCACCATCTTTTCTTAAACCCATGGGTGGGAATGCCAGTAAGCCAAAACTGTGGACATGAGCTGGTTCCAACCCAGGGCCATCCTGCCGTGTGAGGGCAGCTGGGGCTGAGAACTGCCACCCTGTACACAGGGCAGAACCAACCAACCACCAGAGGCACCATCCCAGCCCCTCAGGGCCCAGTGTCCTAGAGCCACCTGCATCAGTCCCTCCTGTAACAGCTCATCTAACTGGATCAGAGAACAAAGCTGTCCCTGGCAGGATCCTTGCTAGGCTGTCACCCTCCTCACCACAGACCATCGCAAGCCAGTCGCTGACCCTCACGCAGCTGGGCCATAACCTGGGGATTTTCCTGCACTGCCCAGAGGTCCAGGCCGGGATTCACTCCAGTCCCTCACCTCGCGGTCGAGGACCCATGTCCTTTCCCTGCGAGAAAGGAGGCTGTGTGCGCCAAAGTCCCGCCGCACTCAGGAAAAAAATAACCCTAAAGTTGCTCTTTCAAATGGTCCCTCCACCTTCCCACACAGTAACAACACCCTGAATCCGCTCACAACGTTCGCCTTCTTAGAAAACAGCTCTGATACTGTCCTATGCAGCCTGTCGCCTTTCATTTACTCAGAGTGGAGAAAAAGAACTGGAATTAAAAACCAAAGACCATTATAAGATTTCTGCACTAATCAGAGCCACACACGGAGCAAAATCCACGTCTGCACCTTCGCAGAAGACCCGCGGGGCTGTAGTCAGCGAGGCCGGAGCGGGCTCTGCGCTCCCGGGTCTCGAACCGCAGCAGCAGAGCTCTGGAGGTGCCCAGACACCGACCGGCAGCCGCGGGCACTGTCGCTCCGCGCTGGGGCCTGACCCCGGGGACCCCCCGGACCCGACCCCGAGGCCCCCCAGGCCCCCATCTGAACCCGGGGCCCCTCGGACCCACGACCCGACCTGACCCCGAGGTCCCGAGGCTCCGTCCCGACCCCAGCCCAAGTCCCCCGGCCCCCCAAGTCCCCAGGCCTCCCGGCCCCCCAAGTCCCCCGGTCCCCCAGGTCCCCCGCGCCGGCGGCGTCCACTTACGGGGTGCAGCGGTCGCTGAACTCGTTGGCGGCGGTCTCGATGCCGCCGGCCCTGGCCACGGCGATGTAGCAGCTCTGCGAGCCCACGTCCAGCCCCACCACCGACATGGCCCGGCCGGTCCGGCTCCCGCCGCCGCTGCTGGCCCGATGCGCGGCCCCGCGGCCC